GGGGGGGGTGTAGGGGGCGTGTAAGAACCGCAGATGCACGGCGGGCGGGCGGCCGGCGTGAGACGTCGTGTTTGATTCCCCCTAAAGACAGTCACGCCTGGAAACAACGAGGCTGCTTTGTGGGTGCATTTCAACGGGAAGCACGTTTCGCATCTGCTCTTGCAGCACGAAGATCCGTGTGGGCGAGGGTTCGCCGAGTGCAACTCACAAACAACTTTGCTGTAATTAAGTGGGTAAATGAAGAAGACGACGTACCTAACTCATTTCCCGTGCGAAGGCTGCGGAGGACGCGTTCACCCTCACTACACAGTTCTGCGAGTCCTGTCGAAATTCGAACGAATTCTGGTTAAATACTATACCCGGCATTCGTTTAGTTCGGTTTGTTGATTGCTTGTAGACTCTAAAGCTTGATTGAAGTTTGATTTCTGACTCGAAAACTAATTGATAAAAGGATTGGTAATTGATTTCTGAAAAAAAAACAGAAGTGAAATTAATTTCTGGACCCAAGTGGTGGCATTCCCATGTTTTTAAAGAACCAATTTATCGTTTGTATTGAGGAATGATACGTTGATTAATTAATCCTGAATAAACGGCATCTGTGAAAGCGTTGTTTCATCATTTTACATGCTTATCGTTGTGTACGTTCCTGGTAATGGGTAGAAGTAATTGCGTAGATAGATTTTTATTCTTTTCCTGGTTCAATCAGCCAATGTGAGTCATGCTAACAAACAAATAATATAAATTTAGCTGCCAAATCGTAAACATGACACCCTAAGGTGAAAATTTGTATTTTCAATTATGGATCGACGTGTATTGCGTTACTTCGACACCTCGCCTCATTCGCGGCTGAGTCATTATGGAATTTCTATTGGAGAAAATGGCAGCTGAGAAGCCGTTCGCCGTTGCCTGATGTGATCAGATGTTCTCGGAACCCTCGCACCGTCACCGCCAGGAAGTACCGGCCACTCCGCCGCCATTAACCTACATCTCTGCGTGGGCTACGCTAGTCCGAGTGACCCAGCCGGGATGTGGAAACAACTAGCCTGCAGACATTGGAATCCATGCATCCGGAATCCATCAGTTCAAAGTAGCGTTCTTTCAATTGCAAAACATGCGAAAAGTTCCAGGTGGTAAGAGCGAATTCGGTGCGGAAAATGTTATAATGATTATTTCTGAAAATTGACATTTGTTGAGTTTGTCCTACCTATCCTTGTATGCTTTAATGAGTTCTTTACGAATTTCCTTGTACATGCCGGGCAAATTACATTATTATTCAGAAACATTTTGCGTTTGGCCATTGAATACTGACAATAAATCTTTTTAGTAGCAGCGTAATGATGTTTCAATAGTTTTGAACAGGCTATGCTACAGAAATATAGTTTGATTTCTTCGCTGTTGAAAAAAAAAAATATAGAAAGATATATATTTCTACTTCTTTCATGTAGCGAATATGAAGATTCAGGTTATAGGAAATTTATATTTTTGCGGCTCTTTCACCTTTTCTATCCTTCAATTCTAAACCGTTAATTCGTCATACTCCCTTCTAAAGCCTAGAAATGTTTTACGCTTCTACCATTGTGAAGAAAAGCAACATGCGTACATCATAACCTAAAAACAACTCGTTAAGTTGAGGTTGGTACAATTTATAATAAAAAAGAATCATTACCTTATATAACAGTTGAGATCTCTCCCTGAAATGGAAGTTTCCTTTTCCTTTCTTTTCACATAAACAGTAGTCTTCCTTACACCTTCATTATCTTCGAAAAAAGAGAGATTCGAGGATTTTGAGAAAATTTCTGTTTTGTACGAAAACCAGCAGCATTCGTTCCAGCTGCAGAAAGACCGACTCTTGCGTTGAGGGAGAAGGGCGACGGCGCGGGTGACCGATTCAGTTCCGCAGAAACCGGTATGGAAATGCGTCTCGCGTTCCCAGGGAAAAGACGTGACTGGTTGGCGAGGACGCCAGGGGGGCGGCGTCGCGCCTTACAACAACTCTCCCACACTTCCAAGACCTGCTTTGTTCCTTCGCTCTGCTTGCTCCAAGCACAGTGTTGGACGTTTGTTCGTCAGCTACTTTGCTTTTGTTTCAATGATCTCCTTACGCTGACCTGACTAGCGCTAACTGCACCGGCGTGGGCTCGAGTGCAGCGTAAGTAGCTTTTCTGTAGTGTGTGTGACGTGGAAAGTCGAGGCCTTGTGTACGAAATCAAAACTTGCCTTTCTTGTGTCACCTGAATTGGGTTCATCGTTTCAAGTCTGCACAGGAACGTGTGGTTCGTTCGGTTTGCCGATTGCGAGTCGCCGATTGCGTGTAGATTTTCTTTGAAGAGTCCCGTCTTCCTGATATTGTCTCTTAAATCTCTTTCTGTTAAGCGTATATTCCTCACAAATGTATCAGTGTCATTCCTAACTGCGTGTTGACGTGTTCAACATTGCTGAAGGTAATTGTGACAATGTTGTTAGTTCTAGATCAGTACGTACCTTCACGGCAAACAAGCATCCATGCCCAAAGCAGAATTAGAATTTATCAAACTTAAGGAAGTTAAGATGCATCGCACTTCGCGACTTGCGTGGCCGAGAGGAGTTCCAATTACTTTATTAGAATGTAAACTCCCAGTTGGCACCAAAATTCAATTTTCCACAGATTGAGTATTATGTACACCTACATGTTCCTTTTCCGTTTGTTTCAACACTGCAGTTGTTTTTCATTCCTCCATTGGTGCGATCTCCAATTTCCATTTTCGCAGACTCTGTTGAGTGCCTTAAATCCCTAAGGGCTTCACTCGAAAGCCTCACAAATTACTTTATTAGTACTGAAAATTCAAGTATACTCGCAGCGTTTATTTCTCAATATCGATAGTGTACATCTCACGAACCAATCTTTTCCGTTCGTCCGTTTCTGCCAGCCGCTGCTTTTCCCATTCACGCAAACTGGAGCCGCCGCGCGGTTTTCCTTCAATTCCCTCGCGATGCATCGCGTTGCTCCTGTTTTGAATACCCCTCGGCGCGCGCCCCCAGCGGCGCTGCGTTTGTAGCTCGCAAATACGGAAGTGCACGCCACGCAACAGGTTGATTGACCTGTCGGAGACTGGGGAGACTTTTAAACAGCGGTTAAAGCGACGCGCTCGCTGCCACCGCTCCGTTTGGTTGACGCGATTATGCGCGCGATCGAAGCGAAAACAAGACGCGGCTTTCATTAGCGGCGGAACGAGACAATTAAACTTACAATTCGCGCGTGACGGGGCGTGTCGGGTGAGCGCGCGCGATCTGTAATTTTGCGTTTCAGATTGCACGCTCTGTGACTTTGCGGCGGCCACCGCAGTGATATTCAATCGAGTTAAATAAAGTGTGAGGGCATTGTTGGGAAACTAATACTTCGGTAATTAACGGTACATGACGGTTTTATTGGCACAATCGAATTGGATGGATCTGGTACAAGGCATGATAAAACAAATATAAATAGAAAGTTGTATAAATATGATGTGCAAATATACTATGATATATTAGAATATTTATTTCGTAATTGTAATGATGTGTAATGTTACTTAGTTGTGAGCTATTTAGGGTGCTGCTAACGCAGTGAACATTTTCTTTTGCTTAATAAAACATGATTTCGCAAGTTCTCTACAATAATTCACATGTTTATTATTCAACTGTTATAGATGAATTATCAGTTGAATAAATTAACTGATTGGATATTCCACATGAATGTGTAAGTTCATTTAGTGAATTCTTATTGAAATTGTGGGTGAGAAAACTAGTAATGTAAAGGCACAATACTGAATAATTGAATAGTGAATAATTGCACAATTAAATATGGCTTATGGATTACATTGTTTCCAGAATGAAAAGAAATGGATAAAAATCCGTGCCCGTTCGCAAATTTCTGCCTTATTGCAACCACCTCCTCTGGCACGTGTGTTGAGAGCCCATTTGTATGGCAAGGGAAAGACGGTCGGGCTGTGATGGAGAGGGGGGGGGCGCGGGCGATTCCGCTGCGAGGCGCTTCCGGGCCCTTAATGGGCGAGCGGGTGGGCGGG